TGCTCCGGCATGACCCCAAACCCCCCCAAACCCACCCAAACCCCCCAAAATCACCCCAAAGCCTCTCCCGGTGCGCACCAGTCGTAGTCGACGACGGCGATGGTGAGGCTGACGTGGTGCACGCTCTCGTGGGGGACGTCGAAGACCAGCGCCTCGTTGTAGTTGGGGTTCAGCGTGTTCTTCTTGATGGACGTCTTGCGCTTCTTCAGCCGCCGGCCCTCGGCCATCAGCGAGGCCTTCACGTAGGGGTCTGCAGGCCCCAGAGACCCCATGGAGACCCAGGGCCACCCAAAATAACCCACAGACCCCATGGAGACCAACAGTGACCCAAAATAACCCACAGACCCCATGGAGACCCAGGGCCACCCAAAATAACCCACAGGCCCCACAGACCCCACAGAGTTAAGGATAAACAACACCTTTCCCCACCTGTCCCCACCTGTGACACACCCGTGACACACCTGTGACACACCCGTGACACACCTGAGTAGCCGGTGAGGTCCATGGCGCGCAGGTTGGAGGCGCGGATGACGGTGACCGTGAGGCGCCCGGCCGTGGGCAGGTAACAGAGGGAGAAGTTCACCTCGCCCAGGTCGGCCTTCTCCTGCGGGTGGGACAGGTGAGAGGTGGGACAGGTGGGACAGGTGAGGGACGGGTGGGACAGGTGACAGAGACAAGGACAAGTTCCACAGGCACCTCCTGGATGTCCCTCAAGGTGGGCATGTTGGATCGCCACCTCCAGAAGGTTCTCCAGGACCACCTGCTCACCTCACCTGTCCCATGACCCTTTTTTGAGGTGTTTTGGGGTCTCTGTGGGGTTCCTCATGGGTTATCTATGATTTCAATGCCCACTCACCCCCGTGCCCTCCCGGATGTCCCTCTGGTGACCATCTCCAGAAGGTTCTCCAGGATTCCCTGCCCACCTCACCTGTCCCATGACCCTTTTTTGAGGTGTTTTGGGGTCTCTGTGGGCTTCCCCACCATCCCCACCCCCACTCACCCCCGTGCCCTCCCGGATGTCCCTCTGCTGACCACTTCCAGAAGGTTCTCCAGGATTCCCTGCCCACCTCCCTGTCCCATGACCCTTTTTTGAGGTGTTTTGGGGTCTCTGTGGGGTTCCTCATGGGTTATCTATGATTTCAAAGCCCACTCACCCCCGTGCCCTCCTGGATGTCCCTCCAGATGGCCATCTCCGGCCGCGCCTCGGCCGCCTCCAGCAGGTTGTCCAGCACCACCTGCCCGATGAGGTCGTGCCGCGAGAAGCGGTCGAAGTCGTAGACGCTGAAGTGCAGCCGCCGCGCCGGCAGCTCGGCGAAGGGCACCCCGAAGCTGAAGGTCTCGTCCCACTCGGGGTTCAGCGTCCGCCGCAGCACCTTGGTCTGGAACTTCTTCTTGCGGTCGGGCAGCAGGTAGATCTTCACGTAGGGGTCCGAGAAGCCGTTGGAGTCCTTGGCCGGCAGGTCCCGGGCGCGCAGGACGCGCACCAGGAGCTGCTGGGAGCCGTAGGAGTAGCGCAGGGACACGTTCAGGCGGCCGCAGGACGGCGCCGGGCCACCGGGGCCGCCGGCGTGGCCACCGCGGGCGCCGCCCGGCTCGGGGTCACCGGCGGGGCCGTAGAGCTCGGGCTGGATCTGGCCCAGGTGGGCCGGGGGCTCCTCGGGGACGGGGGGCAGCGAGGAGCTGGGGGGACACGGCCGTCAGGGGGGTTGGGGTTGGAGATGG